AAGCAATCAAGTTTATTGATTTTTTTTTTTTAAGATTTTATTTATTTGACAGAGAGAGACACAGCGAGAGAGGGAACACAAGCAGTGGGAGAGGAGAAGCAGGCCTCTTTATAAGCAGGGAACCCAATTCAGGGTTCGATTTCAGGACCCTGGGATCATGACCTGAGCTGAAGACAGACACTTAACTGCCTGAGCAGCCACCCAGGTGCCCCAGAAGCAATCAAGTTTAAAATCCTTATGATGTTGCTTACTTTCTGAATTCTCCTATGTCTTTACCATAGAGATTATACAATTAAAAAATGCACTGCATATCTCTAAATAATGCTTTGAGTTACTCAATTGTACTTTACTGTGGAATTCATGCAGTTTGAGGAACTAACATATGAAATGGATTGGAATCATACAAAGAGAACAGATGATTAAAAACCTTTTCAAATAGTTACTATTTCAATACAAGTGCAACCATCAAAGCAAAGACTGACTAAGTATCTAGCCGACAAACCTTATAATGCAAATTTTTAAATGGGAAGGACTAATCTGTTGAGAAAGAAAATGTGGAGAAAATTATTCCTTCCCAAGATCTGCTCTTGTTTCACCACATTCATAGAACTTACATTGAATCATGGAATTTCCTATTAGACCTGTAGAGCATGATGTTTGCAGGATGAAGGAGGCAGAGAAGGAAGGGAAAGAAAAAAGAATAGACATATAGAGATTATTTTAAAGTGTTGAAGTAGAAGGCATACCATAAATGATATGGCAAAGATAAATTGGATCAGAATGGTTGGCCTTTGGATGCACAGAGCTAGCCAAATGATGTGAGATGGGAGAGTTGAGGGGTCAGTATAATTTCCACGGGAAGATTTCTATTCAACACTTACTGCTGCAAAACTGTTTAGATTTTAAGTCTTATATTCTGATATCTGTTTCCTACGCCCACAAGATCACCCACATTCTGTAAGTTTCAGTTTGGCCATTAAAAGGTGTTGAAAAGTATCAATGTATTTTTTTTAGTATAGTTGACATACAACGTTACATTAGCTTCAGGTGTACAACATAGTGATTGGACAAGTTTATACATCTTGCTTGGCTCTCCATGAGTGTAGCACCATCTGTCCAGATACATCACATCTCTATTACAATATCATTGCCTATATTCTTTATTCTGTGCCATTTATACCACTAACTTATTCATCCTGTAACTATGTCTCCAACGCCCCTTTCCTTTATTTTTGATTAATGGTTTATATTTATATTTATAATGTCCAAGATGGAGAAATGCCTTCCTTGAAGTACAAAGGATGGAGAGGAATTGCTTTAATAAATCTTGCCATAGGAGCCTAAAATCCTGCTACTAAAACAGATTTATCCATCCTAAAATGCTATCAAGTCTGAGAGCAGTAACACAGTAATTGTCAGTCAATTGTAGCTATGCTTTAATTATCCAACCAATTATTTTCATTGAGATGTTTAAAAACAAATCTGCCAGCACCTTTTCAAGTTAGAAAGTTACAGAAGTAAGATGGAATTGAGAAGGGACCAAAACTTTTCTTTTACTGGTAGGGGAATCACAGATGTTGAGTGAATAGACAAAAATAGGGCTCCACTACTATTGGTTTGACGGGGAAGAGAAGAGAAAAAGAATGCAAGATACAAATTTACTGGAAATAAAAGTTTGTTCAAATTTTAATCTAAGACTAAGCCATATCAACTCTGCCAAAATATTAAACTATTTTCATCATCTTTATGGAAACTTGAATTACTCCAAGTTTTCTAATCTTAACACTATAACTTATTTGTATCCATATATGTTTCACACAAAACTTCTCATAAGAAATTAATTCTAATTCATGTTAAAGAATTTGGTCAGCATTTTAAATGATGGTTTATATTATTAATTAAAATAATAAAAATAGAAAACAATAAAATGATAAAATGAATTCATTATTATAAAATATATAATTTCCCTTTGAATATATAAAATACTGTTTGTTTTTTCTTCCCATTTTGTGAATCTAATTGGCTATGAACAGATGCAGTGCTAATCTAGGGAACATTTTTGGCTTCAGTAATGACTGGGGACACAACTGGCTGTGTAATGAGTGAGGGCAGGGATGTTAAACATTCTGTAATAGAGGGTCGGTTTCTGGATGGCTCACTATTATGCTACTCAAAATGCCAATAGTGGGTCCTTTCAGATACACAGGATTCATGTCTGATTGTTATGGACTGAATCGTGTTCCCACCCCAAATTCATGTTAAATCCCTAACTCCAGGGTGGTTTTATTTGGAGATACTGCTTTAAGGAGATCATTTGGGTAGAACTCTAATCCAATAAGATTGATGTTTTTATAAGAAGACAAAGAGAGGTTAGGGATATATGAGTACAGACAGTAGGCCATGACTCAATCATAGGCAATAAACTAGCAGTTGCTGGAGGTGGTGGGGGAATGCGGTAACTGGGTGACGGACATTAAGGAGGACATGTTATGTAATGAGCACTAGACATTATATAAGACTAAAGAATCACTCACCTCTACCTGTGATGAATCACTGAAGCAATAATACAGTGTATGCTAGTTGAATTAAAAAATTAAATTTATTTAAAAAAAAAGAAAGGAAGGAAGGAAGGAAGAAAGAAAAAGTCATGACAGCAAGAAGGCAGTCATCTGCAAGCCAGATAGGGAGGCCACAGAAGAAACCAAACCGGCTGGCACCTTGATCTTGGAATTCCAAACTCCAGACTGTGAGACAACAAGTTTCTATTGTTTAAGCCAAGCAACTATGGCATTTTATTATGGTAGCCCAAGAGGACAGAGATGGCTGTTGTAATAAAAAAGATAATTATTTTAACAATTTGTGACAGAACACAGACCCTACTGTTAAGTTGACCCAACACTCAACTATAACCACTTTTCATTTAGTTATAGTCTTGAGAAATACTTCTGTCTAATGGGACACAATTTTAATTTTGCTCAGTGGAGTTTTTAGAAAATGTGTACTGTAATGCTGGAAGAGAAAGACAAATTCAGCTTAAACAGCCTATTACCTTTTTGTTTTTTCTAGTTTCTTCACATTCTAAATGTGGATGTGAATCCACCATCTTAAAATTAAAGATAATCTATATGAAGATAAAAGCCAATGTGCTAAGGATGAAAGAACATAAAGAAAAATACTTTGGATACCTGATTTTATAGCTGAAGAAGTCATACATTCTTCAAAAATAATGCTGTATTAATAAAAGCCACTAGTATATGAAGAAAAATCATAATAGGAATAATAAATACTTGCTATCATCAGTTGAAATAAATGATTCTGGTTGAACTCAACATAGCACTGGTATTATTTCCAATATCCAACTCTTCAGAAAGGATAAGTCAAACATTGCTTTTAGTTTTAGGTACAAATTATATTAATAGAAAATATATTAGATGTATTTTTATAATTCCTCATTGGATCTCAGTGTTCACTATGGGATTTTACTGGGGTTGCCTAATAAATTCTTATCATCTACCTGTATTTTTTGCCATAAATTGTCTAATTATAGGCCACAATCTGCAATGAAGTCTGTTCTTCCAGTCCAGTTCATGATTCTGTTCAGGCCTATGATCTTTAGAGACTCTTTCCTTCCAAAGAGTTTCCAGATGGTCCAACAAGAACAGTCATGAAACCTGACTTGAGTAGCATGAAACCATCATGTTCATAGTAGGACTAGTGAGCCATTCAGGGCCATTTGGGGAATAGGCATGAAACCTTCATAGACAGTTAGCCATAAAACACCCCCAGCTGCTCACCATTCCCAGAACGAAACCTGCAACAAAGAGGGGTCCTAGAAAGGGAATATTAATTTTAAATTTAAAGACTGATATCCAAAATTAGTTATTTAAGTATGCTGTTCAAAAATCAAACTCCTAAGAAAAGCTCCTCTTTTAACAAAACTTTAAAACTCAGATGTTTAAATTAAAAAAATATATATTATAATTTAGAAAATTATGAAATTGTGGGAAAACAGCTTCATTTATAGACTATTAGGGAACGATTACTTAAAACACTATTTGCTAAAATATAATAAACTTGGGAAGTATTACTAAGTGTCCAATAAACATAAATGTAAAATTGATACTGTATTATAGGGATAATCATAAATGTTAATAAATAAATTTCACACAGTTTAATTTAGAATTGTGCTTCACTTTTAACATATTCCATAAGAGACACAAATACTCCATAGCACTTAGGGCAATGTTAAGAGAACCCACTTTAAGTGGCATTAGGTATAATTTTCAGCCAAAGATAAAGTCCACTATGTTACTTTATTCATTACTCTGCAACCAGAGGATATCCTCCACCTCTACATCCTTAAGTCCCAAGGCAGCTCTTAGCTATCCCAAGTCCCATATTAGCTAGTGCTAATTAAACTTGAAAAGAACTAATCCTTCTTCCACAAGTTCAATGTGGCCATTCTTTGTTAAATGTTGTTTGGAGCAATTTGTGTTTTAATCAAATGACTAAATATCAATATCAATTCATATCAAAAGGCTTATTAATTTAAGGCATTAATAATCTAATAATTCATAAGAATAAAAAATGAAATCGTTTTGATACAATAACTAATTACTTACAATACAATAACTAAAATTAAGAAGAGGGGCTTAGCTTGAAGTTACTAATATCAAGCAGAATGGAAGGCAAAAACATCCTGTCAAACTTGTGAGAAAAATAAGGAAAATATTTTCATTTCTGAAATGTTAAGTATAGAAATCACAAGATGAATACATGGCATTTTTTGATGATCAATGCTTAGATTTTATGCACACACACAAAAGACAAGTATTTCACAATTTATCATGATGAATTTCAGCAATGGACAATTAGTTTAATTTCTATGAGTACTGTTTATCATTGTCAATATACACTCATGCCTAATATGTCTATGAATTCAATGCAAATTTAATACAATTTGAAAAAATTATACAAAATGATAATAAAAAGGTACTTACACTTCTATACTTGACAATGTATTCCAAAATAGGGGCCCCTCCATCATCCTGTTTGGTGATACTTAGTTTAAAGCTCTTTCCACTGCTTGGCTGCCCGTGTATGGCTGGAGGACTTGGTTCACCTAAATAAGCAATACAACATTCTTGGTTTTTACACACACCTCAGATACCTGGAAAAACTTCATTCTAATAAAGAGAACATTGTCATGTAGTTAAAAAAAAATGATGTGATCCTAAATTTACCATTTTTCCATCTGCCTTTTGTTGTGATAAAACCACTGATCCCTTCTCCCCTTTCTTCTCTAAGAAACAGCAATATTCATAAATCTACATAAATATTGAAGTGTCATGACAAAATTGTGACACCTGGGAACCAAAATATCATTTATACTGATGTGCAAATGTTCTGAGAATAGCATTGCATTATACAAGTGAAACATTTATTTCTTGGGTTATTAATAGTGTGCAATCCTGTTTATTCATGTTAATTTCTGTAAATATTTTGTACATATGTTTTAATATAAACATTGTTATCAGACTACGTGGAATATATACTTACTGGGAAAGATAATAAGATAATGGCTTAGCAATTACATATCAGCTTTATTGGGTGTTTTTTCAAAAGATTTATTTATTTGTTTTGAGGGAGGGGGCAGGGCAGGGGAGATGGAAAGACAGAATCTCAGCAGACTCCATGCAGAGCACAGAGCCTGATGTGGGCTCAATCTCAGGAGCCTGAGATCATGACCTGAGCCAAAATCAAGAGTTGGATGCTTAACTGACTGAGCCATCCAGGCACCCCTTAGTGAGTATTTTTAAAGTAGATGCAGATTTGAATACAGAAATTTTGTGATATCTAATCAATAGACATGTGTTCCAATATGTAATTTTTTCTTCTAACATCATGGACGTATTTGCCTTTGATGTGATTCATCCCATGGAGGTGGTTTTATAACAAAGATGCTTATATGTTTAATATGAACAGGGATCTAGTGAAATGTAGCTTTCTATGTGAAGGGTGCCATCACTGCTTGACAACAAGGAAAGGGAACTTCTTGCTGTGTGTCACTTATGTGATGTCTTTCAGCATGCACTGGCATCCTCTATGCTTTTTTCCTTCAATTCCCTATAGATAGGAATATAGTAATACTAAGGAACTTTCAGGAGACATGCTTTAGTTTGCAAGGCTCCAGAAACTTGTAGTATATATGGGTCTACTCAGAAGAATGTCAAGACAAACTAAGCAGAATAGAGTGAAGAGGATTTTATGACTCCAAACTTGGAGAATCTGTGTTTGTTTTTTTCCTTCAGCAGGTTATCTTTTTTAATATGGTGTTTATAGCCATATGAAATGAGTAGTTTATTTGAAAAAGGCATATAGTTAAAGAAATATGCCAATGGGCTATGGTGACATGCAAGTATATAATAAAATAGCCTTGTATATTACAGCCATACAGAAACAAATTAATAGAGGTATTCTGGAGGGATTCTTCATTAAAATTAATTAAATTAGTGTGCGGATATTATGATATGAAATGATCCATATTCAATATAACATATTTTCAATAAATGAATTAAATGTTTATAAAAACCAGTAAATAATTTCTTAAAAAGACTTAACAAGAGACAGTGGGAAAATCTAAATATTATAAAATGGATCTTATACTCAGGTAGTTTACTATCATTTCTAAATAACATTTTAGAATGTCTGTGTTATACAGTATGCATTTATTTAATAATATTATAACCATATTATTTTGATAATAACATTTTGAGATAATAGTTATACAGCAGGAACTGTATTTTCAGTTACAAATGTTTTAACATATAAATTTAAAATATTTAGGTCTATATTTAACCTTTACAATATACCAAATTTGTGATTCCATTACAATTGCTACTTCCTTCGAAAAGAAAGTTCAGAACAAATGTAAATTTCATCAAAAAGGAATTGATTAAAATAATAGTTTCTATTAGTAGTTAAACAATGGAATGTTTATGCCAAAGTAATAATATAAATAATAATCAAGAAAGTAATAATGGGTAGTTATGACATATTAAGTACTTTACATATATCATCTCATTTAAACCTCAAAAAAATCTTGAGAAAGAGCTACAGGGGCGCCTAGATAGTCCAGTCTGTTAAGCATCTGATTCTTGGTTTTGGCTCAGGTCATGATCTCAGGGTCATGGGACTGAGCCCCACATGGGACTCTGTGCTCAGCACCCCTTTCCTTCCCTTTCTGCCCCTTCCCCCACTCACATACCATTCTTTCTCTCTCTTTCTCTCTGTCAAATAAATAAATACATAAATCTTATAAAAAATTGCGAAGCAGCTAAAATGCATATTTACAATTAAAAGCAAAACAAAACAAAACAAAAACAGAAACAAAAAACCCTTAGACCTGGCCCTTAAAGTTTCAATGTCTAGGACTGAGGTCTGCAAATCAATAGCAGTACACTAAGAGATTAGAAGCATTATGATTTAAAAAGAAAAGATTTAAAAAAAAAAAGAGTGAAAGAGAGGGGTTTTCTGTTTTAAGCACCTAGGTTGGTGTTCTACGAACAAAAGAAGAGGACAGTGCCTAATTGAAGAGGAGACAAAGTTGGAGTGGTTAGCCACGGTCTTACTGGTCTTGACCTCTTTGGGTGCTGATGTGCAGTGACATGGAGAGAGGAACCAAGACAGAAAAGGGAAAGGAAAACAGTCTGACCAAACTTAAGTTCACTTACCGACGCCGAGAACATCGAGGCCACTGAGGAAGGAGGTATGAGGAGGGCAGGCATGCAAATGTGTGTGTGGACAAAAGGGGTGTGGACAGAAGGTGAAGGCTGGTGTTGAGGATTAGAAGTAGAGAAGGTACAAATCTGCTTAAATTTGTGAAAAGTCATTCTAGTCTGAAAGTGTAGCTGTGAGTTAATATGAACCAATAGTTGTCCTGGAGAGAAAACAGGGAGGGACTGAACAAGATAAAAGCATCAGAAATGGAGAAAAGGGGACATATGACAGATTCTGTGAGAACCAAGAGCAGGTCACAAATTAGGGTAAGGTAATTTATTCTCGCCAATTTGCTGTATTAGGTGTACATATCAAGCTTGGTGATGCCCAGATTTTATAATAGCGCTTCTTGGGTCACAGTCAAATTCCTCACATCATCAAATAATTTATTCAGCATAAAGGAAATGGAAGTCTTTTCAAATTTATCTTCACTTTATGTAATTCAACAGCCTTACAATACCCCTAAAGGAGGACAGTAGCAGGGACAAGGCTACAATAGTTAATCTTCTGCAGTCACCATGAAAATGGATTAATTCAGTGGTGCCTTTTTCTCACACTTTGGGCCTACAGAATTTATGGGATAAAGGCAATAGTCATGTCTCATCAAAAGAATGAAATATTGGACATATTACATAGTCACTATTTTTACCTTCTCACAGATTATGGTCTGAGCACTATAATTCAATTAACCAGACTATTAATAAATAGGACACCTTCCTGATGAGGACAACTTCCTGAGGGCAGTTTTACTGTATTTATTGTGTGTGCGCTTTGTTTGCCTCATTCAGAGCAAAGTTATTTTTATAAAACTTAGACGCCACAATTTCAGAAACCACTTCAACAAAGATGTAATTCACTTCCCCAAAGTGTTGAAACACATCTCTGAATTTTAAGATGTCTTAAGTTTGCAAGTGAAGAGAATGGCAACAGAAAGCAAAACAGAGATGATTACTTACGGACTGGTAATGTCTGGAAAATTTCTATTTTGCTGTAGTCTCCTTGCCCTTTTCCATTTACTGCTGCAACCCTGATTTCATAAGTTGTATTTGGTTCCAGGTTGCTCAAAACAACCATCGCTAGAAGATGAAAAAAAGCATATTATATATATCTATGGTTAATATATTTTAATAAGTAAAGAAACCAACCTATTACAAAGTTGAGTGAATAATTTCAATGTAAATCTTTCCAGAAAACACCTGAAAAACAGAAAATACATATAAGAAGGGGTTGATTTGTGAACACTGCCCTTCTTCACCTTGATTTTAGCCTGTGGATTCCATGCAGTTATTACCAAAGAAGAAATTTAATAGCTTCTTTCATGATGCATTCACACTATATTCAATAAATAAGAATGATCTAAACAAAACATCTTTATTGTATGCATCCCAAATATTTTATCTACTCTAAATCCACTATTTCTATGCAACTTCATGGAGATATGGAATTAAACATACAGAACTCTGGTCTTGGGTATGGGGTGTTCCACTCATGGTAGAAAAGTGTCATAAAGCTGACTCCATAACCAAAATAGATAATTTATTTGATAATCTTAAATCAGATCAAATTATTTTTAATGCTGGTTTGAAGGTTGTCACCTCCTCTATTTTTTCTCTGAATTTCTTTTTAATTCTATACTTCCCATCGGACCTGGATTCAACATGACACTAAGAAGAGAGCATCTGAAAAAGTATAGGGATGTGAAGGTGATTAGAAATATCTCCTAGGTCATGCCAACTTCTTCAATCTGCCAAAGAATTTTGGGTATAATGGTAGCTTTAAAATATCCTACCTTTACAAATTCCTCTGAGGAAGCTAACAAAATTCCATAGATTCCTCCAACCTTACTGCTTTTGCTAAATAGCACAAAAATTTACTAGTGGAAGTGGTAAAGCCTTAACAAATAGTCAGAAAGAAATTATGTTTGGCTTATATAATCACTCCAAATAAAATGATCAATTCCTAATACACGATATAATCAGTCATAAACTAAAAGTTTAAATCATAGGTAACCAAGATCATATTTGCAGAGAAATGGTTTTTATATGACCTATGACTGACGATGGTATACATTCAATAAAATTATGATTTATTAACGTATTTCTGAAAACTAATTGCATTATAATATAGATTCTTTAGATAACATTTTTATTCCACATTGTATGAATATACTTAATGAATTTGTTTTGATACCTCCTTTTGTTTCATACTTTCCCTAATATTCATTATCATGACATCTCTTTAGCTTTTTGTTATAATTGCTTAATTTGGTTGAATTAATTACTCAACTACAGAAAAGAAAAAATGAATTCATGGTAAAGAAATTTTCTTTGTTTAAAATGCAGAATTTAAAATACATAAAAATTATATATATATATATATATATTTTACATGTATCTGATATATTTTGTCATATATATTAGATCATTATTAATGGCAAAAAAGTTCCCAGATATCAAACAGAATTTTTTTAATACAGTACAGATGTTCTAAAGCCAGCAGAAAGGATATATTTCCAGTTGGCAAAATTGACATCTGTATTTCTCAGTTTCTCTATCTCATAAGAAAACTGACCTTGCTTTTGAGAGTGCATTGCTTTGAAAAGCCTCAGATTATAATACCTGATGTCAATGTTAAGGGAGGCCATGTGGGAAAGTCTGATGGGCAGGTATATCCAACTGATTAGAAGCTACTAGGATAAATGGGAATATGAAGGCTTAATCCAAGTGTTGCTGCCACGCTAACAACCTGTAAGCTTTTTCAGGAAACCCACATCCAGTTGGTTGGTGACCTGGAATCAATCTATATATGTAATATCAATCCAAGAAAAATAAATAACTACAATTGAAAGGTTAGTGCATTAGATCATACAGATTAAGGAAAAGGAGGAGGGAATCAAATGAAAACTTTGAAAGCTAAAATGCTGAGAAGTTGAAATCCTACTGTCCTTGAAAGAAAGTTTCTGTTCAAGGTCAGTATAACAAGGAATTCAAGAGTTTAAAAGTCATCCTATCTTATCAATTTTGCCATAAATAAATAAAACAAATTTAAAGCCAATGTGAACTAGGCTTACTGTTCTGCAGAGATATTTAAAGCTTTATAAAAGTGTGTTTGTTCATCAGGGCTTGTAATAAAAATGCTTAACCTTTTGGACAGTCAATATCCTCACGCACCAGTGAATTTTGAATGTGATGTCATGAAGCAGTCGGTGTTTGATTGCCCCTGCCTTTACCCTAATGGAGAATGACTTGATGCAGCATGGGGACATAGTGGACTCATGCAAGTGTTAGTCTGACTACAAAAACTTTGCAAGAAGACACTGTTGTGATGCATGTTTTAAAGTCATGAAGGAAGTCATTTGGTTCTAAGCCTAATCCCACCACTGACTGAGATCCTACTGTCCCAGAGCTGAGTGAGTCTCCCATCTCATCAACGAAGACACTTTTATTAAGTGTCATAGAAACACAAGTAGAAAAATAAACTGAAAGTAGGTAGAGATAAAATAATTTGTGCTCTGTAAAATAATCATCACCACACATCAATGATCTATGCAAATGAGGATATTATATGGAGACTGAAGCAATGCAAAATAACAGATAGCCCAAAAGTTGTTCACTTCGACTCTTTTTAATGGGAAAATACTCTGTATTCGGATACTTATTTATAAATATCAACATTTGCACAGATACATGAGAGATTGCTATAGATGACTTTCCTGCTGCAGACAACTTTGCTATGTTCTATGTGCCTCCCCATATTTCTATGACTTAAAGATGCAACTGCTACCATCATTTTAAGATCATTGATACACTGTAACTCAGCCGTGTAGGTGAGAACAATTGGTAATGTTTCTGTTCATTTGTTTACTTTGATACAACTCAGCAAGAAAATGAGTAGAATTCAAATCACACGACTTTATTTGTAAATAAAATCATCTGGAAATCAAAAGTGTGGAGATCAGATGGTTCATCTTTTCAGGTTAAAAATGGATAATAGAGCTAGCAAACTATGAGAGCATATCGAAAAAGGAAAATGGAGGCTATTAGATTAAATAATTAAAACACCCCCACCTCCCCCTAGAAAAACCTTCCACATTTTACTTGGATTATCTGAATGTTTCTAGTAAAAGCTTTTCCTGGCTTAAACGGTTGGTCGGCATTCTTCCTCCTCTGTCATTTCACAGGACTTGTGAGGAGTGTTGAGTTGTCCCTCTGTCTCTGCCAGAGAGAAACTCATTTCTTTAATTACATTATAAGCAAATCAGAAAATCACGTTTCTCCAAGTTTCCTCATATTCTTCTGTTCTCCGTATCAAGACTCTCCCCTCTGCTGACTGAGTTTCACAGCAGAATGTTTGTGGAGGAGAGAGGCAAAGAGATGAAGTAGTGGCTGAACTGCTATTACAGCACTGGGCTACAACAGTCAAGGGTAACGTGGATGAGGGGGCCTTGTGGAGGCAAAATTACAGGGGAGAGGCATGAAAGTAAACCTATTGAAACAAGTTTTACAAAGTTTATACACAAGAAGAAGTCAGTCTGCTTTTGAGTTCTGACTGTAAGGGTTTTGCTACAATAACCCTTATGATGAAGCTTATTAACATTGTGTGAACATAAAGATTATTGTGTGAAATAGAAAGCGCTCCATAAATTGGGACCCATTTAAAGAGAGGGAAAGGAAAAGATTCAGGGGAGGCAAAGCCCGGATCTGTAATTTGACTTGCCTTTCTTAAATGAGAGGATACATACATTAAATCATCCACAATTTCTTGGCATATTACCAAACACAGGGTTCTTGAACACCCAAGGTAGAGCCTGAAAGCAAACTACCACCTGAAATATGAAAGGCTGCACACTTTATAAAAGACTCATACCTCAAATTATGAAGTTAGTTAATGGAAGGCTTTCTTTTCCCAAATGTGCGCATACAATAGAACAAAAGAATCACAAACTGAGGTGTGGGATCGGTTCTTTTCCTATAATTTGTTAGAAATTCAAACTCAAAAATTAGGTGAGAGTAGATCTAGATTACAAACTACTACAAGTTCTTTAAGGACAAATGGCATAAATTATTTTACAGTTATATTCAGTTAGCATGATTTGGAAATCATAATGCAATTTTTCTGAAAATTATAAACCAACACGAATTTTTCTGTGACATGGCAACAGGTATAGGTTCTGCAAAGAATCTGGTTTTCTTCATTAATTTAATGTTTCTGCCTGATTTAAATATAATCAAGTTCCATAAGCGACTATTTTGTCATCTGGCTATAAATGCAGAAGTATAGCAAATATTGAAATGCATAAAACTAATGACATTGAAACTGGCAAATGAAGGAAAACAGAAACTTTTTTTACATTATTTTTGCAAGTATGGAGATGGTATTGCTAGAGAGAAAAATCTAAAGTTTCATTTTCCCTTTAAGAGGGGAATCAGAGTTCATTAAAGGAAGTTAATAAAGTAAGTTTTAGTTCGTTCAGATTACATATTGTAAATACCATCCCTTTAGCTGTCAAGAGAAGCAGAGGCTACAGACTATTTATGACTCTTCGAGCAAAATAAATTACATATTTGCAAATTAATTAGGCTGAGCAAAGTTCTAAAGTGAGATGAAATTGAGCCATGCTCTTTTGGCTCTCTTAAACCTCAGACCTCTCCATGGGGTTTTCTAGCCAGTCAGTGTAAGCCGGTAAGGACTCCCGGAGGTAGAATGGCCACCTGAAAGGCCACTTATTCAGGCTGTCAGGAACCTTGAGACAAGAAATCACAAGGCTTAGCTAGGATGGGACTCATCATTCAAGATTACACTTACTGCTGATCTCCTCAGATAAATCTGTAAATATAATAAAATCCCTGAAGGTTCTCACCCAAGATTCAGCTTTTGTTCCCTAACAATGAAAATAAGCCAAAAACCCCTTTTATTTCTTTTTCTTCTTCTTCTTCCTTTTCTTCCTCCTCCTCCTCCTCCTCCTCCTTCTTCTTCTTCCTCTTCTTCTTCTTCTTTTAAGATTTTATTTATTTGTCAGTGAGAGAGCTCAAGCAGGAGCAGAAAGAGGGGGAGGGGCAGGGAGAGGAAGAAGCAA